AGCAGCAAGCAAACTTGATATGGGAAAGAATGCAGACTAGTTACGAGCTCCCCAAAGCAGCAGGTTCACAACATCAGCTTAATGCCAGTTGTTTTTCCATGTTCTCCCACATGTTGTAATATTTTGGCAACTAAGTGCAAACCATTGGAAACAAACGCTGACACGAGAATGCTACTGGTGGTGCCATATTTAACAAATTCAAGATGGGTTTGAGCAAAGCAGTTTTACCACATTATGCTCATCTTTCGTGCAAGCTTGACTAATTTATTTTTGGCCAGCTTCAGGGAATTTTTAAAGGGGGTGCTTTTAATTTGAGGTCCACACACAAACTGAAGTGAACTTCAAGGAAGTAGTGGAGTTACAGTATGTTATCCTAAAAGAGCAAAGCAGCCACCAGATCTATTAAGGCCAATCGCTCCATAATTAGCACAACACATGCAAGGACAGAGCGCGGTGAAACTATTAAGGATGTGATCCATACGACGTTGTGTTATAAAAAGTTGCCTAGTATCATGTGCAGTCAGGCAGAGCAAATAAGAATTTGCTTCACTTTATGAGGCAGGACTTTCTATTTCCCTCCAGACTAGGAGAATTAAAGAACGCAATAATTCCCCCGCCTCACCCACACACACACACACACACACCACACACACACACACTTTGATACTACAGCTATATACAGGGGTATAGCGGTGAGCACACTGTGTTGGTACTGAATGATCTCTGTGAACTCTTGTTTTTGACTTTGTCCTGATGTTGAGAGAGGGACTCTGCTTCAAAACAGCTTCTGAAGCTTAGCTGTTGTTCTCAAGTTAAGTGGCAGTGAGGGGACCCAAGATGGAGATGAGTCATTTCCTACTGACATAATATGTGATTAAGTTGTTCTCCCCCATGACACCCTGATGAAGGCACAATAGTCGTCAACCAGGGAATAAAGCATGTTATGTTGGAAGAGTGTTATCAGACATTTAATCTTGATGAACCTGTATTGAAATTCACAAGTCGGCACTTGGCTGCGTGTCCAAAAAAATATGCATAGTACATCGCTATTGATATACTCCAGATTTTCCTAAATTATAATTTGGGATTATATTCAAAATTCTACATTAAAAAATTACATTTTACCAGTTTTTGGCCACATTTTACCAGCAAGAAAATAAATAAATAGCAAGACTGGGCATGAATGTGTCATTGCACACATTATCTACTGAATAACAACTAGGGTAAATTACTTAGAGTAATACACAGTAGCTATATATAACTTTCCACTCTCCATTCTTTGTCTGTGTAATAGTTGAAGGTGTTATTGACCTACCCTCAGTTTTGACCCTTGCCTTTTTCTTTTTCTTGTAAAACATGGAGAATTCTTGTTGTAGCAGCAATCTCTCTTTCTGAGATGACTGAAGATTGTAGGCATGTTTAGGGACTGTAAAGTGGCAGGGCATGCTCTCCAGTCGTATCAGCCTCAGAGTCAAAGGGCATATGCGGTAAAAGGGAACAGGCTGCTGTGCTCTAGCATTTCCCCTCAGTTAACAGCAAATGGGGAGAGTGAAACATGACTGCCTGTACCAAGGCACCCACTCACGGTGCTTCCAGGGCTTTTAAAAATCATATGGCCAGATTTATAAAACAAGCTCATCAAAGGCACAGCTGCACTCCCACATAAATCTATAGCCACTAGTTTCCTTTTTAAATCCCCACTTCCTCATCAAGACGGTTCAGTCACGATGTGTTTTACATGCTAGCTACAGCCGTCGTATTTATTTTTTTCTGTTACTTTCGTTAATACCACAGCATACAGTCTGTCAGTCTCTCCTTATTGTACAAAGTCCCTGTCTTTCTTTTCCCTTATGCTTTCCTCGTGTTTGTTTTTCCTCTGTTTTACTCTCCAATGCTACTTTGTTCTTCTGCCCACAATGGTATCATTTAAGAACGAGTGACAAGACTGTTTCTCACACATCGCTCCTGATCAGCCGGCATGTGTAACCTCAGGCTAAGCTAAACTATGTCCTCAAGTGCAGCCTCACCATGAAGTTCCCTGACAACCAGGAGAGGAGTTTATTTGCTCTACTTAT